ATATCCGCTTACCTCGGTTTCCGCTCGTACTACGTGTAGTCCTGGACAAATGCGGTAGTGCGTTAGCGTCTATCAAACGACAGCTTGTTTCGCGCATTTGTTATGGAATGGAGCACAATTGTTCTTTTCATTTATTCTCGGAATGTGAACTGTTGGCTGTAAAGGGGGTCGCACACCGGACGAGAAGCGCCGCGCCACGTTTAGGACAACTCCACAGCATCGCACACCGGACGCGCACTTTCTCATCAGTGTATGGCCAGGAATATTGTTATGTTTAATGACAGAAAATGAAGATAATGTCTGTTCTATGTTATGATTGTACTGTACAATTAAATACAATCGTTGCTGAGTCTGCATTCTGAAAACTTTACCTCAGATCATCCGTTAACTGAATGAATTGAGAATCTCACCTGAAAAATCTAATAATAACATCAGCAATTGTCATTCAAAGCAGCTAATTTCTGTAAATCACTGCAAAACTAAATGCATATTGCAGCATAGGGCAAAGTCAGGATCCATTAGCAACGGTTTGAGACAAAAATAATTAATTTTATATAAAACTGTGTAAATGGCGCTCTGTGGCGCAGCAGGATTTTGAACACGGTCCTGATTGAGGCGTTGCTGGGCGCCGCGGACAGACGCCGAATGGCACCGCCGGTATGTGTACACTTATAGAAAATAATGTGTTCGAATAATCATGTGGTGCGACGCGGCGCTACAGCTTCTCGTCCGGTGTGCGACCCCCTTAACGTTAATTTTGTGAAACTGTAGCTGTGGTTGAATACTTACACGACATGAAAAGATGTGTCAAATGTACATTAAATTTATTTTTTTATTTTTATAAAGTTACCAAGGAGGACCAGCCACGTCAAATCCTTGCAAGAGACCTTCCCCTTCAAACCCTCTCCACCATAGCTTCGTCCAGTGACTCGTACAGTAACATCTGTGATAACTAATTTACTTTTAAACCTGACTTTTCTTGCACGGTTATTTCAGTTTAATGAAAAACAAGCATGTAATTAAACGCAACGTTTATAGTAATCGAACTTTACCTCATCCATGACAACTAATTTTCGATTCCCGTCTGACTGATTTATCCACGGTGGAGTTGAAAACAACAGTTCCCATCATTCCGCGTTCCTCCACGTCGTCATCAAGCAAAGCCATTGTTGTTGTTTTGAATGTAGCGCCCTCTAGCGGCATCTAAATCTTAGGTATTGCAGCTTTAAGATGGACTGAGAAAAAAATAAGGCGGCTAGCATAACGACCATTATAGTCTAATGCATACGCCCATAAGGCGGCTGGCATAGCGGGCCGTTATCGTATAATGCATAAGCACATAGGGGAAGCACAAGGGGCGAACCGGTTGTGATAGAACTTCCAATAGTGCAGCTTCTTATAGGAGAGCTGTATCGTACTAGACCACCAGTAATTTCGCCTGTAAGGCGGGGACTTCCAAGTTATAAAATCTGACAAAAGAGGACGGGGAGGCCCATCCCGCAGCCACACAAATGTCGTGAATGGAAATTCCACAGGACCATGCCCACGATGAGGCCATGCCTCTAGTGGAATGAGCCCTGATGCCCAGCACAGGGTCGGCGCTATGGTGGGGCATTCGAGGGCCGTGCCCCCCCCTAGCGCTCATTGATGCCCCTCCTACCACAGTTTCCAATACAATGCTAAATCATAAATTAGATGTAGGCTATACAATACCAAATGTCCAGCAATCTATTTGAATAGTACATTGTGTTTAATTTGTTATCTAATTGGATCTAATATGTGTTGGTGCCAAGAATTTTCACATGAAGAAATATATCTATCCAATTCGACTTTTCATCGTAAGTGCTGTTGGACCAGCGGCAGAACTTTAGACTGGCGTGCAAGAGATTCTGGGTTCGAATCCACACTCGTGTAGCTATTTTTTTTTTCCCTATCATTATAACCGATTATGTTTATCAGTGGTTGTCAAGCAGGGACATGTTTGAGTGCATTCTACTTTGTGATTTCACCGGTACGAATAGAGATTTCGCCGCAACAGATCAAGCGCGTGTCCGTGTGAAGATGTTTATTGTGGCAGCGCGAGCCACAAGAGCACACTTTATCAGCACCACAGATCGCGTCAACGAGCACTTTGAGCACTTGATTTAAAAAACAACACATTTCAGCGTGCTATATCGCCTCTTATTTAACAAATGAATGCTCTGCTAGGTAACCGGATATTTATTTCTATTGGTTACATCTGTGCCGCGAGATGTATAAAAGTGCTGGGACAACATCGACCCTGGCAAAAAGTGGTGGGGAAATTCACAAATAATAATTATAAATAATAATTATAATAATAATAAAAGGTGTTTTTTTTTTTTTTTTTTTTTGCTTAAATATTTCTTAAACGGCAGTGCCCCCCCCGCTGATGACCCAATGCCCCTCCAGTAGATCTGCTCTGGCACCGACTCTGGGGCAAGGCAGGTCTTTAGAGGCGTAAGCAGAGGCGATAGCGTCCACTATCCATCTAGACGGTGTCTGTTTTGTGGCGGCCAAACCCTTGGTGCGGCCACCGAACGACACAAACAGCTGCTCCGAGCGTCTGAACGAGTGTAGTGTACAATCTCAGAGCCCGGACCGGGCAGAGGAGATTGGCATCACGTTCGCTATCGGATGCAGGCATAGCCGATAGAGAAATCACTTGCGCCCAGAAAGGGGTACCAATCGCTTTTGGAACATAACCATGTTTAGGTTTGAGAATGACAACTGAGTCATTAGGTCCAAACTCAAGACACGTGGCGCTCGAAGAAAGCGCGTGAATGTCCCCCACGCATTTTACTGAGGCGAGTGCAATCAGAAAAACGGTTTTTAGCGAGAGATATTTTAGATTCACGGACTCGAGTGGCTCGAACGGAGGGGCTTTCAACGCTTCGAGAACTGTAGAAAGTTCCCAGACCAGAACCGAAGGGGGGCGAGGGGGATTCATCCTTCTGGCTCCCCTGGAGAAGCGGATGATTAGCTCGTCTTTGCCCAACGACTGGGCGCGCCGGGGTTCAATGAACGCCGCGACGGCTG